CAAACTGTCGTCAGTTCTGAACAATTTGCCTTTGGTTTTGTGGGGCCTGGGGCCCTGCAAGACTAAGGCAGGTGAACAAGAGCAGGTCTGGAGCAGAGGCTCCAGACTCAGAGGATTTAAACCAGGCCTCAGGCCATGCGCACAGTGCCGGCCTGTCATCCCAGCACTGGGAAGGCTGAGGCAGGAGGATTGCCCAGCCTGGGCTACATGGAAAGATCCTGTCTCCAAAAACAAAAGTAAAACAAAACCAAAACATCCAGGGGCCAGGGATGTAGCTCAGTGGTTCCGCCATCTGGCTGGCAAGCGCAAGGTCTCGAGTGTGATCCCCGGTACCAAAAAAAAAACACTCCAAAAACCCCAAAAACATTCAGAGCTCAGCTAAAGATGGGCCGTGCCTCAGTTTCCCTCACCCACTCCGAGTGAGTGGGGATGACCCTGTCTGTGGGGTCCCAGGAGCAAGGGTCTGTGTGCCCCGCACTGCACAGAGCTGGCTCCCTCTGGCCCTGTGACCCCCTAAGCCCCATCTCCATGCCATCTCCTCCAAGGGAGGAGAAAGAGGGCTCCCTCTCACACAGATTTTCAAAGACCGCCCTTTTAGCAGAAAAGTTGCGCGGGTTTTTTTGACATTTCAAAGAAAACCCTGGCTGTTAAGCTCAGGTCTACAATAAACATGGCTATTTTAGCGCTGTGGACTCGGCTGCAGCTCCGGGGCAGGAGGACAGTGCTGGGCGGGGGTCCGGCAGGTCTGGCCCTGCTGCTGACAACCAGCTGAGTATTTCAAAGTACTCTGGGGGCCGGGGATTTAGCTCAGTGGTTTTGCCGCCTGCAAGTGCAAGGACCCGAGTTCCATCCCTGGCACCAAAAAAACAAAAACAAAAACAAAGTACTCTGGGATCCCAGCACTCGGGAGGCTGAGGCAGGAGGATCGCCGAGAGCTCCAGGCCAGCCCAGGCTGCACAGTGAGACCCTGTTTCAAAAGCAAAAACAGAAAATCGTAGCCCAGAGGGAGCGACCGAGGGTCCTGAACACCAGGCAGTGAGCAGCCCCGGGGGGCAGGCGCCTCGTGACCCTGCAGTGACCTCGCCGTGACCACCTCCCACCCCCTCTAACTGTGCCGGCGCCGCACTGCCCGCGCCTCCAGCCCCCGTAGCGCTGCAAGCACGGCAGCCACGAGGCCGCTTGTTTTCACTGTGTCCTCTTTTCCCTCTCAAATCACTTTTCTTTTCCTGGCCTCCACCCCGCCGTTCCCACGGAGATCCGTAAACAACCAGCGCCCTGGCCGGGTGGGGGACGCTGGAAAAACCTCTGCAGAGGAAAAAGCGAGGGGACCCGCGCGTTCCAAGCCGCCTGGGGCTTACGCAACGGGGTTTGATGCAACTGCCGGCCACGGGGCTCCGAGGGGATCGGGGTGGCGGCGGCCACAGGAGGGGCCCTGAATCCCCCGCCCGCCCCAGCGCGGGCCGCGGCCGATCATGCGGTCACTTTTTAATTTTTTGAGCACAAGTCGCCCAGGTTGGCCTTGAGGATGCAACCCTCCCGCCTCAGCCTCCTGAGCAGCTGACTGGCCCCCTGAGCCTCTCAGGGACTCGGCGCCTCCTCCCTGGCTCCGACTGTGGGGTGTCCTCTCCGAAGGCCTACGGGATTCCTCCTGGAGGTGCTGCGAGCCGATTCCGAACTCCTGGGGAAGTGTGACCCTCACGGGGACAGAGTCAGGGCTGGGGCCGGTGGCCAGGTTAAGGGTCAGTGATTATCTCAGGAAGGGGTCTGTGAAAAGTGCGGGGGTTCACGCCTGCGCCCCAGCTACTCAGGAGGCTGAGGCAGGAGGGTTGCAAGTTCAAGCCCAGCCTGGGCCACGTAGTGACTTAGTGAGACTATAAGAAGAAAGGCAGGTAGGCTGGGCCCCCCTGAGCACGGAGTTGAACTCAGCCCTAACCAGGAACAGTCCCCTCATCTGGGGCAAGGTGGGCGGAGCCAGAGGGCATCGCGCTAGGAAACAAACAGCCTCGGGCCACACCCACACCTAGGGACCGCCCACCAGGCCCCGCCTCTTAAAGGGCCACACTGGGGACCAAGCGCCCCACACAGCCCTGGGGACACAGCGAGGGAATGTGGTGGGGAGGGCCTCAGGAGTGGTGTCCATGCCCCTGCCCAAGGGACTCAAACCAGAGGAGGGAACTGGGCCTGGAATCCAGGCACGTGGCCCTCAGGGACTGTCAGGGACCATGGCGAGACCACCACAGCCAGCGGGCAGGAAGGGCCCCAGGACAGCTCCCAGGCCCACCTCGGCCCCACTGCCATCCGGTCTCAGGTCTGCGGGGCTCCCTCCTAGTCTTGGGTTGCACACTCCCTGTTCCGGGTGTGGGGCCCCGTTGCATCCATAGGAGTTCGGCAGATAGCTCCTCAGTTGGGCGGGTGGGGACAGCTGAGGTGCAGGTGACAGGGTGTTGGGAGTCAGAGCCACTGCACTGCCTGCTAGGACGCACCTGCCCTGCAACCGCCTGGACAGGCGACATTGCGTCCTCGCCTGGGGTGGCACTCTCTCCCCAGGGCTCCCCAGGGTCCCTGGGTGGGAACAGAGCCAGGACTTTTATTAAACTGCAAATGGCACTGGTCCAGGTGGCACACGCCTGTCACCCCAGCACTTGGGAGGCTGAGGCAAGAGGATCCCTGCCCGGCGGGGAGCCACAGGGAAACTCGGGCGTGGTCTGAGGTCTCTGCCCGCCTCCAGCTGGGCACAGGAGATGCTGAGAGTCTTTGTGCAGGAGCCTGACCCTCAGCCGTGGGCCAGGCAACGGGGCACACGCCTGTCATCCAGTACTCAGGGAGGCTGAGGCGGGAGGATCTTGGATTTGAGCTCAACCTGGGCAACTTGGCAACTTTGGGAGACCCAGTCTCAAAATAAAAACTAAAAGTGAAAGAGCTGCGAATGCAGCTCGGGGTTAGCTCCACTCTGCTGCAGAAAAGGAAGGAAGGAAGGAAGCAGCCTTTGCCACTGACCCCCACCCCACGCATGGCAATGAGAGTGACCCAAGGTAACAAGCCCAGAGCCAGAAACTCAGATCCCAGACATCTCTGCCTGTGCAGCGGGAGCCCTGCCTCAGCCTCCCATGCCCTGCACGCCCACATTGATTTCCAGCACAGGCAGTTCTTTTCTTTCTCTTTTATTTGTTTTGTTTTGTGAGACAGGGTCTCGCTATGTACTTCAGGCTGGCTTTGAGCTCACTGTGTAGCCCAGGTTGGCCTCAGACTCATAGTGATCCTCCTGCCTCAGCCTCCCCAGTGCTGGGATCCCAGGCACACACCCCTGCTGGAGACTGAACATTTCTGAAGTGCAGTTCTGCTGAGCTCTTGACAACAGCTCGGCAGGAGACACGGAGGCAGGGCTGTGTGAGCCACAGGTCCCCTCCCTGAGTGACAGCCGTCTGAACAGCCACGGCTGGGACCCGTCCACCCCCACACGGCGCTCTGCATGGCGCAGCTGGGCACAGTCTCAGACTGCATGGGTACCGAGTAGCTGCGGCTGCATGTGCACAGCTGAGGGGTCCCGGAGGGTCGTCAGGGAGCTGAGGAACTCTCAGCACCAAGAGGCATGTGGGGCATCCGCCACTCAGGAAGCTGAGGCAGGAGGATTTCAAGTTCAAGGGCAGCCTGGGCAGCCTAGTGGGACCCTTTCTCAAAAGGCATGGGGCACTGCTCAGCGGCGAGCACTGGCCTTGCAGGGGTCCCCAGGCCCCAGTCCCAGCACCGCTAACTGCTAAGTAAATAAATAAGAAGCCAGGCATAGTAGCAGACACCTGTGATCCCAGCACTCAAGAGGCTGAGGCGGGAGGGTCACTTGAGGTGAAGGTCAGCCTGGCCATTATCTGTAATTCCTTATCTGTTTTGGATTCCAGCTCCTTATCAGAGGAGTCTTTCCTTACATCTTCTCCCAGTCTTCGGCTTATCTTTCCTTTGCAGAGCCAGGCTTGGTGGCGCACACCTGTGATCCCAGCACTTGGGAGTCTGAGGCAGGAGGATTGAAGTTCAAATTTAGCCTGGGGAATTTAACAACTCTGGGAGACCCTGCCTTCAAGTAAAAAGATGCGCCACTGCCCTGAGACCAGTGCGATCATCACGTACGGCAAACGTGAACCAAGGCAGAGGCCGAGGGCTCCCTCGGCCTGGGGTGGGACAGGGACCTGGCAGCCCCTGCACGGACGCCAAAGCCCTCCCGGGCCAGCGTGTGTGTGTGTGGGGGGGGGACTGGTAGCCCCACACCCACGCTCTGTGCTCGTGGGCTCTCCATCCCCCAAGGCCCTGGCCGGGCCATCGCAGCCACACAGAGCCCCCACCCCACCCCACGCCGGCGCTGCACCCTCACCCCCTTCCCGCCCACACCGGGTCCCCGCGCCTGGCTCAGCGCCCCCAGGCCACGGGGCTCGGTGCGCTCGGCACAGCGAGTGGGCCCGGCTGAGGCTGGGGCCGCGGGACCCTCCCGGCCGCCCCTGCCTCCCCGCCCGGCAGCAGGGGTCGCAGAGACCGAGCACGTGCTGACGTAATCATCACCTCGGGCCTTTGCTGCCTTTGGTTTTGTTCTGTGGCACTGGGGGCTGAGCACAGGGTTCTGAGCCGGACCCCGAGCGAGGGTCCCCTGTCCCTAAGCTGCTCAGGCTGGGCTTGAGCTTGAGGTCCTTCTGCCTCGTCCGGGAGTGCTGGGGTCTCAAGCCGGCCGCGCCTACGGTTTGGTTTGGTTTCGCTTTGCGGGGGTGGGAGCAGCCGCGCGTCCGGGTGCGGCGGCCTGGGTGTCGCCGCAGGCTCCGCAGCCCTGAGTCCCGGAGTCCCCCTGCCTGGCCCCAGCCCCGGTCCCGTCTGGGCCCCGTGCTGCGCTGTCGCCGGGCGCCGCGAGGAGGCGGCCGCTTTTATACCGCGGCTAAATTTAGGCCCCGGGTCCAGCCCCTCCCGACGCGCTTCCGCCCGCCGCGCGCCTATAAGCGGGGACCCGCCCGCCTCGGCCTCCCGCCCGCTGCCCGCCCGCCGTCCGCCATGGCGCTCGGTGAGCCCGTGTTGCCCGCCTTCGCCACCTTTGCCGCCTACGCTGGCGCAGGCGCCCCGCAGGAGGTTAGCGGGGAGCCGGGGGCCGGGAGCCGGGGGCCGAGGGGCGCGGGGGCCAAGGGGGCGCGGGGTGCAGGGGGCCCGGCCGCGCTCACCCCGAGTCTCCCGCGCCCCCAGCGCTGGCCGCGCCCCGAGCCCGACGCGCCCGACGACGACCTGAACAGCGTGATCGACTTCATCCTGTCCATGGGGGTCGAGGCGCCGCCCGCGCCGCCGCTGGCGCCCGAGCTGCTGCCCGGCTGCGCCCCGGGGCCCGCGCGCGTCAAGGCCGAGCCCCCCGACGGCGACCCCGGTGCCTACGGCCGCGCAGCCCCGATGCTGGGCGCGCCCGAGTCGCCACCGCTCAGCCCCGCCGGGGTCCCCTTCGCGCCGCCCTTCGCCGCGCCCGGCTTACCCGTGCATCCCGGGCTGCGCTTCCCGCCCGGCCCCGCCGGCTTCGCGCGCTTCGAGGACGCGGCCGCCGCGCTGCGCCTGGGCCCCGGGCCGCGCGGCCCGCTCACGCCGCCCGCGTCGCCGCTCGAGCTGCTGGACGCCAAGCCTAAGCGCGGCCGCCGGGCCTGGCCCCGCAAGCGCAGCGCCACGCACACCTGCAGCTACGCGGGCTGCGGCAAGACCTACACCAAGAGCTCGCACCTGAAGGCGCACCTGCGCACGCACACAGGTGAGGTGGGCGCGGGCCCTGGGCGGGCGGGGGCCGCGCCGGCCGAGCCGGGCCGGGCCAGGCCGAGCCCAGCCGAGCCGCGCCGAGCCGCCCCCGTCGTCTCCGCAGGCGAGAAGCCCTACCACTGCAACTGGGACGGCTGCGGCTGGAAGTTCGCGCGCTCCGACGAGCTCACGCGCCACTACCGCAAGCACACGGGCCACCGGCCCTTCCAGTGCCACCTGTGCGACCGCGCCTTCTCGCGCTCTGACCACCTGGCGCTGCACATGAAGCGACACATGTAGCCGCCGGGCCCGGGCCCCAAACTGACTGGTATTTATTGGACCCCTAGACGGGCCGGCCGGTGGCCTCAGAGGGGTCCCCTCCTCCCCGATGGCGACGGGAGGCCCGCGGGAGGAGAGCGACCCTCTCGACGAGTTTTGTTTTCAAAATGGTGCAATAATTCCGTGTCGTGTCCTGGGACGGGTCTACACTAGGGGCTGGGACGGCGGCCCTCGTTCGTACTGTCTGGGACTTATAATATTGTACATAGGACTGGGACAGATATTATTGTATTACTGTAAATACGGGAGACGAGTGGGCGTTCTGACCGCCTGGCTGGGTTTTTTCTATAAGACTTGCTGTTTTTTAATTAAAGAAAAATTTTTGCATCTTTTGAAAAAAGCAGCGTCGGTCACACTGTTTGGGGCGGGGGACGTGGGGGTCGAGGGGACGGTGGCCTTGGGGGGCTGCCCAGCAGGGGCAGAGCCCCAGCTGCCAGGAACCTGCGGGCTGTGTAAATGTAAGCACTGCGCTTGCGGACGCGGGCCAGGTTATTTTAAGTCTGTCCCCAGAGCCATAAAAATTGCCTCCCGCCCAGAGCGGGGACCGCAGGTCCCACTGATGTGGCCGTGGCCAAGCTAGAAAAAGCTCTCCTTCCTGGAAGGACTGAGGTCTTAGCCAAACTTGTGAGGATGCCAGCTTTTTATGTTAGGGGCTGAAGGGCTGCCTGGCCGTGCCTCACTTGGGCAGACTTGGTCAGGGGTTTCCGGGCTTCAAGGGGACCCGACCCTTGCACTGCTTGGGTCAGGACTGGGACACTGGGGTCCCTGAGCCCCTCCAGGGCATCTGTTCGTGGTGGCTCCCTGCACCCACAGCCTCCTGGTGCACAGCACGCAGGCCGCTTGCTGCAGGTTGCTGTCTGCTGCAGGTTGCTGTCCGGGGAGGCAGGCTGTCTGCTCACACTTGCACAAGCTGTTTCCAGAAAGTGAAAATGGCCCGTAAGCAGAGCGCATGTTGAAACACTCTCACCACCACTGCCTTGCGACACAGCCGGGCTCTCCTCCTCCGGCCCGGCCTGGAGACAGCTGGGCGCTGGGCTCCCCCAGCCCGCCAGAAAAGCAGAAGCTGCGAGAGATTATCTGTCATCTGGAGTCACACCCTGGGTGCTTCCGCCTACAGGGGAGGGTGTTCCTAGGGTGGGCAGGCTCCCCAAAGGACAGGGGCTGGTGGCCCCCAGCCTGCAGGAAGCCCCCCACTGCTGGGGGCAGAAAGATCCCAGGGCTTCGTCTGCTTTTTGGGTTTTCTGAGACACGGTCTCACTATGCAATCTGGGCTGACATTGAAATCTCAGCGATCCTCCTGCCTCAGCCTCCTGAGTGCTGGGGTGACCAGTGTTGGCCACCACGCTGGGTTCCCCTGGAGATTTGAAATCCAGCTGTCAGCCCTCTCTACCCTTCCCGAGTCTCAGCTTGAAGATGGAGACATTCTTCATACTCATTTGAAAAACTCTCCTTCCTGGGGGTCCCATGTCCTGACAGACACAGCAGGGCTGGGGCTGCTGAGTTTATGTCCCCGCCCCAGGGGGCCAGAAGCATTGACCTGCAGCCCCAGCCACATATTTCAGCCATAGAGCTGGGGGGAGGGCCAGGCCAGTCACCCCCGGGCAACTGGGCAGCCTCCTGCCCCTTCTGGACACCTCAAGGCTGACGTCAGCGCCTCATTCAGCAAGGGAGCAGGCACTGGTGCGGACACAACCCAGGGAAACAAGCCAAACCTTTACCTTGTGCCTTCTGCCCGTCCCCATCCAAGCTCTTGGTTTGGGGTTTGGGGGGTGGTTTGTGGCTGAGTTGCTTTTACAGGGCCATGATTAGCACTAGGTCCTTTTCTCCCCCAAGTGGTGTACGTTTTCTATAACCTCTCCCTGTGCTGGGTTTGTATGGACATGTTCATGGCTCTGTAATATTCCACACGGATAGACAGGCCAGGAAAGCACTAGCTCGGGGGTGGGGGTGGAGTCTGGGCCTATGTGGATGGCATGACGCTTTTCAGAAGGGGCCTGAGCGCCCTTGCAGTTTAGGGTCTGGGGGACACCAGGAGCTGCACTTCGTCTATTCCCGAGCGGTGGTACAAGGATGGGCCGTTTTGCCGTTGCTGGTGGAGTCTGGTGACAGCAGGTACAAGGTCCGTCCCCTTTCTGGCAGGCAGTTCCTGTGTCTGCACGTGAGAGGGCTGTGTGCCAGAAGCAGGATGTCTACGAGATTGTCCTGACTCAGCCTGTTCCCGGCCTGCTGAGTCACGGCAGCACCCCAGGGAGTGCCCGACCCAGCCGTCATGTGGAGGCTGATCAGGGTATCACAGCCTCCGTCCCATGGCCTCAGGAGCCCCTCCTTCCCTGGGCCAGACCAGCGAGCACGAGTCCCCATTGTCCTCTGAGAGCCCAGCTGGGAAGAGTGCGGAGGGGCAGGGGACAGAGGTCTGGGGCGCTGGGGGGATTCCCCAGCTCTGGGGATGGAGCTGCCCCCCCCAGGCCTTCTGTAGTTTTCATTCTGAGACAGGGTCTCCCTGATTGCCCAGGCTGGGCTGGAACTTTGAATCCTCCTGCCTCAGCCTCCTGAGTGCTGGGATGACGGGCGTGGCCACCACACCCGCCGGTGCCCTCGGACCTTCTCTCAGCACCTAGAGTGGCTCCCTCTCAGGCCCTCAGCATGGCTCAGGCTTCCTGGCTCTCGCTTCCTGTCGCCCTCTGCCAATCATCTCTCCCGGTGTCACCCCTGGTGTGACAGCCCTGCCCGGCCTGGCATGGAGTGGGCTGCTGCCCTCCCGCTCACCTGGGGCACTGTCACCACCCCAAGATCTCAGGCGGAAAGTGGGGCTCAGAAGGGGGCCGGGCTGGGGCTCATGGAAGTGGAGGGGCTGGGACTCGAACCCAGGTCCACCCAGGCCTGGCCCAGTGGCTCCTGCATTTGTGACCTGAGGGCGTGGGGACCTGGGTGACCCTGGGTACAGACCTGGGGGACCGGAACGGGGCCGAAGTGAATCACACCCTGTCCCCAATGTCCATGGCCCAGGAGGGCACGGTGTGATTTGGTTCCTCCAACCCACAGCCCTGCAGCCCCGGGACGGGGTGTCCTGCTGCTTCCCCCACAGACTGCGGTCCCTGCTGGTCCAAGCCCCTGGGAGTCCAGGGACCTTGAGTGCTGCCTCCAGTGCAACTCCTGCTGGTTAACAGTGCCCGGCTCCCTGCCCCAGGGCCTTTGCACCGCTGCACCTTGGGTCCTGGGGATGGGCTGGGCCGGGGCTCTGTCCCTGGGTCTGTCTACCTGCCCTGTCCTGTCCCTTCTGCTGCCAGTCAGGGTTTCTTTCCCTCTGCATTCAGCCAGAGGCCACGCTCCCCCACCATGCTCAGGTAGTAGCTCACAGCCTGGGCACTGGCTCAAGCCCACTACCCAGTTGCCACCCAGCCACCTCCAGAGCCTCCTCGCTGCCCCTCAAACGTGGCTCCTGGCCCAGTCCCACACCCCATCCTGCTTCCCGACCCCTTGAAGGCATCTTGGGGCTGAGCCATGGATTCTCTGACCCTTGCACCTGCCTCAGTTTCCCCAAGGGAATATCCCCAAGCTTCATCCACACTGGCCGTTGTCAGAACACCCTTCCTTTTCATGGCTAAGTAATATTCCACAGGACAGCTGCACACAGCCGTGTGGCCGTAGCCGACGGCACAAGTGTCTGCTCAGGCCCCTGCCTTCAGTTATTGAGGTGCAGACCCGGGGTGGGGTTGTGGAGCCCCTCATTTTCTCTGCTTTTTTCCTTGTGTTGGGTCCACAATCCGCTTCCTGCCCCTCACTCTCTTCCCAAGCCCTCACTCTCTTCTGGGCCCTCTGAGTCATCGACTGTCAGGGAAGGGCTGCTCTTCTCAGGGGCTGGCTTGGGGCTGGGTGACCTGGGGACCTGGCACTGCCGGGGTCGCGTCCTCCCGTGGCTGCTGGGGGCTGGCAGGGTCCCTGTGCCCAGCACACAGTGGGTGCTTGCTCGGCAATGCCTCGGTGGCCCTGGGTAAGAGGGACACGGAGAATCCAGGCAGCAAGTGTGGCTGCTCTGGACCCGTGCTGGGGAGGAGCAGGGGTCACCGGCCACTGCCGCGCTGCCCAGCACAGGTCCTCGGGAGCCCAGTGCCCACCACAGAGCTGGCCGGCCCCGATGGAGGACTTTCAAAGTCAGTGCTGCACACCAGTGGGCCCAGCTACTCAGGAGCCTGAGGCAGGAGGATAGAAAGTTCAAGGCCGGTCTGGGTGACTTATCGAGGCCCTGTCTCAAGTAATGAAGGCGAAAGAAGGCGTAAGTCCTCGGGGCGCCCTTGTTTAGCCTAAGCGAGGGTGGAGCTCAGTCCCAGCACGGCAAGATAAGCCATTTGCACCATACTGCAGTCTGTTAAATACACACAGCGCTGTGCCTACAGTAGAACACACACTCCCTAATTAGACCCCACTGCTGTGGGGCATGGTGCACGCCCTCACCCCGCAAGAGGGAGGCTGAGGCAAGAGGGTCCTGAGCTAGGTGCTGTCTCAAAAGAAAGAAATTGATGTCCCAGAGCTGAAGTTAGGTGGTTAATGTTCCTCTCCCTGCCCAGAATGAGGCTGAGCGATAACAGCGGAGGCTTCTGTGGGATCACAGCGAAGTTCCTCCTCCTCAATCCCCTTTGGTTTTTTTTTTTGGTACCAGGGATCAAACTCGGGACCTTGCGCTTGTGAGGCAGGCGCCGGAGCCACTGAGCTGAATCCCTGACCCCTCCATTTTCGTTTTTGTACCTGAAACCCTAAAATGCTCCTTCTTAGAGGTTTTAATAATGATCTTAGTTGCTTTCTCCTTTCCCTACTGGAGATGGAGCCCCAGGGCTCCCACTGAAGTACATCCACAGTACACCCTATTTTTACATTTTGAGACACGGTCTCAGCCTTGGTGGTGGCGTGCGCCTGTAACCCCAGCACTCCGGAGCCTGAGGCAGGAGGATTGTCGAGCTTGGGCCTGGGCTACAGAGTGACTCCAAGGCCAGCCTGAGTTACATAGCGAGACGGTCTCTCAACAAAACGAAATAAAAATCTTAAAAAAAAAAAAAATTTTCCAAGTGCAAGGACCCGAGTTTGATCCCCGGTACCAAAAAAAAAAATTTTTTTTTTTTGAGTCAGGATCTCATTAAATTACTAAATTGCCCAGGTTCAGCTTGAATTGTGATCCTCCTGCCTCAGCCTCCCAGGGTGCAGGCATGACAGGTGTGCACCACCCGCGCTTGGCTTAAGGACTTTCAGGGGCAGGAAATCTTCCTTGGCCAAATGAGGAGACTGAGGTGCAGGGAGTGGAGCTGGGGGCCCGGGGTAGGATGAGAGTACCGCAGACAGCTAAGCCAG